TAACCATCCATTATCTATTAGGCAGCCTTTGATTTAGAAATGTTCACTGTCATAGAGGCAGAGAAAGCATGTGCGCGTTTAGACTCTGGCAAACTGGTAACAATCCTGAGCCTTACTTATTACATTAGCAGGTAATGTATCCACTAATATATAGCTTTTAATTTAACTTTAATAACAAATGACATTCCTTTTATCTGGACGTCTGTCTTTGTCCTACCATGACTGGCTAAAAGCTTTCATATTGTCAAAACATCATAGGCCCATTTCCAAACTGATGATTGAAGGTGGACTTGGTGGTGGTGCTATGGGGATGTATCAAGAACCTACAGCGACGTTTTTTCCTGTGCCTTTCTTTTCACCATTTAACTTTGGCTCCATTGGCATTGAATACATACATAGGCTACATACTGCAATATCAACAAATAAAAATAGCCAAAAAAATTATAGCAGACCAACCAGTCAGTTTGGCAACAATAACAGCAACTAATCAGAGAACAAACTATCCTCTGCTTGGCTTTGTCTGTATATCTATTTCCCTCTCTCTGCCAACTGAAATGGGCTTCGTTGGTATAAAATGTGTTTGCCAAAGAAAAATCAACAATTCCCAGCACAATGATTACGACTATAGACACAATAGTCTCATTATTAAACAATAAACTGCATTCCCTTGCTTCTTTTCTTTCATCATAACATAAATCTTTTGCATGTCCATTTGAGTGTCTGTATGTCTGTAGTTGACTGTAAGGGATGTATTTCATGTCTTTATTAGAGCTGCAACAATTAGTCAACTAATTGATTAGTATTATAGCACTAGTGACTTAATAGTAACTATTTTGATAATTAATTAATCGTTTTGAATCATTTGAGTAAGAGCTGTGCTTAAATTGACTTTTTTGACTTTTTGACTTTACAATCGCAAAACAATTTACAGTCTTATTACATTATCTTTGATGGATTCATATATCGCACTCATAGTAACTGAAAGATTGGTTTACACACATTATTTGTTGTATGCAAGATTAAAAAATAACTGAAAGCCCTGCCTGGTGCACTGGATGTGGTCACCCACACAAAAGAAATATGTAGCTAGACAATAACACATACACACTCGTACATACAGTGAGCATACAAAGATACAAAGACCTACAGATTCCTGTTGTGGAAACTGCAGATAGCTCTAGAAAAAAAAAAATACTGGAATAAATTCCACATGGCCTAAATTAAAGACTGTTTTCCTTTTTCTTCATAGGTGGTGGCCATTTTCTCTTTATTTCAATATACCTCGCTCAACCACATCTCTGGGCCCATACTGAAAAGCACCTGTGGGAGGTTTATCAGAATCAATAAACCATTGAAAACAAAGGACCTCAGGGTTAAGTTCGAACACACTAATACTACTTACTTACTGACTACTTACTTAGTAAAACAAGAGAGAGAGAGAGCAGTGAAAGGCAAATGGACAGACAGTAGAAAAATACGAACACAGATTAAAACTCTTTCTGGTAGGTCAAGTAAACATTATTTCTTGACACAGCATTAGCAGTGGTTTGGAATAATGAGGTGTCTCCTTGTGAAAAAGGAACTTTTATGAATAACAACAACATTGCTTTCAATGATAAAAAAAAGACTTTTCAGAAAGAGACTTCTAATTGGTCAAAAAAGAAATATGCACTCATCCATTAAAGTATGACCCCGACTTCACACCATGGAAAAAATGGAAGTAAATAGCATTTGGTGTGTGGTGCTCAGAGCATTGAAAGCTCATGTTTGAAAAACATAAGTATGTAAAGTATGCATCTTAGAAACACTGTATTGTAGAAACAAGCAAAATAAGGTATTTATAATACTATCAGAGATTTAAATATTATTACAAGGAACTGACTTGTGCTAGAAACTACAATGCGTTGAGTGAAATATCATGTATTCCATGCCCACTATGAATGTAATGTTGCTTAATCACTTCTAGACAGCGTCTAGACAAGACACATCTTAATGCCAGCTATAAAACAGGGGGCTGCATGTGTGTGTGTGTTTTGTATGTGCAAGGTCAGCTGAGTGTGTGAGTGTGTGAACGTCCTTTTCAATGCGGCGGTTGTAGAGATAATGATGGATTCCCTCATCACGGGGAGGTTAACTGGCAAACTGTCCCATTAGGTGAAAGCACACCATATGCAAGGTTATACACACAGAACAACCACACCGATCATATACAAAGCACCGACAGGTTGATCGCCATGACTTCTAAGTGTCCATACATACACGCATACACACAAAGGCACACACACACACACACACATACAATAAACCCATGTGTCCCTGCGGTGATGGATAGGCTGGGAAAGTATTCTGCAGGCACTTCTAATATTCAGGAATGTTGTAATTTTTCACACAACCTTTTATGTCAGCCAGCAGATTCAGAGTGAAGAAAGAGAGAGAGAGAGAGAGAGAGGAGAGAGAGAGAGAGAGAGAGATTGGAAAGGGTGAGGAAGAGCAGGGTCACCTTTGCCTAGGGAAAACAACTGAGGAAATGGCTAAAGGGATGCACAAATTAGGAAACTCAGAAAGTGCTTTGGTTGTCCTTTGCTTTTATGGCCATTTGGAGACGTTATGTGAAGGTCCTGGTTGAAAAAAGGACTTTTGGTAGCTTTTTGGGAACTTTTCTAGTGCATTTAACTTCCTTGGGATCACTTTCATGTTGAATTATTAGTGTAATTGACATAAACTATTAGCTATTAACAACATTTCTATGAGTTAAAGGTCCAGTGTGTAGAGTGGAACCTGAACACCACCTAGGAATGAGAACAGGCTGTGTGAGTGTGTAGGCAAAACTACGGTGGCTGTGAAGAACACAAAAAATACAAAAGGCCCCAATATCTACAGCCAGTTAGCTTTATACACATGGTGGTACAACATGGCGGACTCCATGGGAGGCAACATGCAGCATTGAAGATAAAAACAGTTAATTCTAAGGTAACGAAAACAAAATTCTTCAGGTGATTATACGCTATTGAAAACATACCTATGAATATTATAATTGTTTCTTCCAATAGGTCCTAGTAAATGTTACAAATTAGAGCTTTAAAGAACAGTTTAATCTCTTCCAGATGTTAAAAAAATAAGTTTGCTGTTTAAACTTGGAATACCTCCATGTAACCGTATAAACAAACCACACCTGCTGACATTAGATGTCTTTTGATTGTTATTTGAACTATGCAGAAATTTAAAACTATTTATTGCTCATGCCTCATTAACTTGTAGTTTGCACTTGCTATAAAAAATCTACAGTGATATGTCATAATTTAAGCTCTATTCTAAAATGTTTGCTGCATCACTATCTGTTCAGAATTTAGTTTGATACATGCAAGATGGAGAGTTACTTGGATTAACTCATTCTGGAAATTTCAACTTGCAAGTCCCCAAAATCTATTTTAGAGGCAACCACCTTATTGACAGCTTCACGGGAGGCAGAAAGTCAAGCTACCTTAACAGCTCCCTCAGGGCTGTATGCCAACAGCCAGTGCATGCATAGCATCTTTTTTCTTTATCTTTCTCCTCTCCTCTCTACCTCTCTCCCTCTCCCACTACACTTCTTATCTTTTTTTCTTACTCTTTCCTCAAATTGCACAACTTCCTCGATCTCCTGGTGCTCTGGTATGGCACTAACGCTGCCAGAGTTGGATTAAGGGATGGATTCTAACTCTGTTAAACCATGTTTAAAATTGAAGCAGGCATGGTATGCTGTGGCATGTTTTGTAGCCAAAGTCATTTCCTGTTCCAAGAGTTTAAGGTGGGTTTAAAATATAGATTTCCGAGCGCAAATTAAGTAAGAGTAAAGTTGTAACAACAACAACTTTTAAATTCTAAACTACTGCCCAGTTAGAGAATCAGGCCCTACTTATTAGAGACAGGACTTTATTTATAGTTCCGCCTGTTTCAAAAGTAGGCATTGTTGATCTTCTACCATATGCTGCATTAATTTGCTGTTGCTGCCATTTGCTGTTATTGCAAATGCAGCACGTCCTCCATCTGTTTCATATTAAAACACTTCTAGCAGTTTGGGGTGGTAGAATTCCTTCACCCCTCCTATAAAGGCCTTTTTGTAAAACATCAACAGGAAGTTTTCATTTATATTAACAGCAGCTTAAAAGTGAAGGCGACCAATAGAGGGTATGCGTTTACGTCACTTCCGCCCCTCGACACGCCCCCTCATTCGAACTGAGTGGCAAAAGAAATCGCCCACAATATGTCAAAGGATAGCGAAACTAAATAAAATGGATCATAAAAACAAATTAACGGCAGTTGGACTCGCAAATGATCCATTCGAGCTCCCCAAAACTATCTGGTCCACGGACATTGATATGTGGCCAGATATCGGATATCCGGACATTTTTATGTACCTGATTTGTACGCCAGGTAAATATACACGGCAAAGCTTAAAGGCATACAAAAGCCTTGATGCTTGGTCATACTTTCAGGCGGGATTTGTCGGCGAAATTAAAGTGATGAGAACATCGATGGATATTCTGGTGGTCTGTGGACAGGTTTGTATACAAGTTATATATATTTATGTTTTTTATAAACTGAGTTAGCTGCTGTCAGGCATTATTTATCAGTCCCTCCAGAAAAACACGAATAAACGCTTGCATGATTTTATAATCCCCGTATTTTCGTTGCAAAAAAGTCACATATATCTATATATCTTAGTAGAAAGTTGAAAAATGTTGCGTTTACTTCACACAAGAGCAGCCATTTTCCCGTTGCCATGGGAACGTTATGAAATGACGTAATTATTATGCGACGTGAACGTCATTGAAAAGCTGCAAACCCCGCGATTGCACTTTTTTGTTTCCAGTGGGTTAAATCATACTAGTTTCAAAAACCTTATAGTTGTAAATATTAGCAGTGTGTACATTTGCGTTACAGTAAGAGATTGCACTTTGTGCATTGGAAGCACTTATTTTAACAGAAGATGTCTACCTCTGCAAAACAGGAAGCACACATTTTATTTTTTTATATTTTATTTATTCATTTTTACAGAAGTTGAAGCATATTCCTTTTGTAAAGCTACAGAACTTGTTTGACTCATCAATGTTTTGTAAGTCTGAAATAAAACCAGATGAGAACTTGAAGCACTTTCTGTGATGTAGTATGTTTGCTTATCATAGGAAGTAATAAGAAATGACTCTTTACATTAAGGTAGTAGCCTAGTGAGAACAGGGTGTTGGGGGAATCACTTTTTATTTTAAACCGCAGTTTTTGGAAGTTCCCACAATTTCATCGCATAAATTGCATACATATCCTGCTTGTATTAATAAAACATGCCGCATAATTAAGGATTTTTGCCCGCAACAATCACAAAAAAAATCTGTATTTTTCTGGAAGGACTGATTTGTTTGGAACTGACACTGCCACTTGCTAATTGTACAGGTGAAACACAGCCAGAGAATGAATGAGCCACCCTTGAAAACTTGGATAGCTGCAGAGAAGACAGGGACAGTTGTAACAGCACATTGTACATGCATGGCAGGACTTGGAGAGACATGTTCACATGCAGCAGCGTTGATGTTTGCAGTAATGTCTGGTGTGAGGCTGCGTGATGACACGCCGTGTACTTCACTGCCATGTCAGTGGCTTCAGCCAACACAAAAAAAGAAAATCGCCTGCTCTGAACTGTCCTCTATAGATATGACATGTCCCAGAACGCAGAGTAGAAAGGTTTTAGGTCAAGTTGACATGAGTGTGGTCAATGAAACTACATCAAGGAAGTCAGGGCCCTGTGATGCTACGTCCAAACCTACAGGAGATGAAGTTGCAGGCTTTCTGAATAAGCTGAAGTATGCAAACCCAAGAGCTGCTGCATTCGATGTTTAAAGATTCAATTTGCTTATATAATGAGGCAATGTCATTGTGCGTCTCCTCTGTCTGGACCTCAGTGCCTTGGACTCCAGTTTCAGTTTGTACCTGTTGTGAAGAAATAGCTGAAGTCAATGGTCAGGAGTTCAGAAAGTGTTCAGGAGACTCTGATGTCTTATGCTGTAAAATGTATTGTATTGTGTTATTATCTCCTTGATCTGCCTGTAATTCTTGCTCTGACGCAGTACTTCTGTCTGTTGCAGTTAGCCCATCATGTCTTTTGCCAGAAACGTTTTGAGTTCGTACATATCTCTCCAGGTGGTTGACAGCCCGAGTCCGATCAGCAGTAGAGGTGAAGCTGAATAAACTTGGCACATAGTCAGGGTGTAGAGGATCATCACTCTTTTTTCCTGAAAAAACAAATATACATGGTTGGTACCAGCGAATACATACATATAACGATTTCTATATGAATCAGAGCCAGGTTAGCACATTTAAAAATCAATTTATTCAATCAGCCATTAGATTTAAACAGAATCCAAAACTAAACATCAGAGCAGAAAAAAAACTGAAAAAAACAGTTTACAGGAGCCCAAACAAAATATAAAAACAAAAAAAAAAAAAAAAATTAAAAAAATTTAAAAAAAAACAAAAAAAAAAAAAATTAAAAAAAAAAACAAAAATTATAGACTTTCACTTTTACCAGAGTAAAACTTTAACCCGATATCTTTATTTGTACTAAAGTATGACTTTTGGGTACTTCAGTTACCTTAAACTAGCTAGGATTATTAACATTAATGAATACAGAATACAGAAGCTAACGTTAGCTAAATGAAAGATGCTAACGTTAAGAGCTTTACTGAAGTAACGTTGGCAATATATTATGTAATTTAATGATATGATTTTGCCCGAAAATACAGCATAATTTAACGTTACCTGACACAAAATGTGAACCGCAGATCCAGGTCTCGGTGCCTGGATACCAGCTGTCTCTCCGGATCGCAGTGATCCATCGCCGTCTCTTTTCTGTTGCTTTCGGTAGCCTATAGAAACTTTGCTCCGACCCCTTTGCAAATCTATTAGTGCAGTCGATAGCACAGCAGCTCTTCCCCATGTTGAATATAAAATCTTGGCGGCTCTTCTTCTTTTTCTTATAGGATTCTGGCAGTGTTGACGCTGTTAAACGTTACTGCGCTCTACTTGCCACTCGTCTTTTTGCCACTCAGTGGACGTAACCGCAGCAACTTCCGGGTACCGTGACGTCATGTGCATACCCTCTATATATCTGTTAAAATTATATATCACCGATGTATTTAATGCTGTGGAATCGGATGCATATATTGCACATTGCATTATTTTTTTTCCTTCTCTTTGACCATGTGGGTTCATGCATTAACACAACCCTAATTTTGACATTTAAAGTATAAAATATATGATGTTTGTGTGTTATATATAGCTTCGACCAGCAGTTACCTTCTAATACCTAAATAAAATGAGGTATTTGCCAAAGTTATAAAGAAAAAATAGTAAGACAGCAATACTAAATTTAAAATAAACAGAATAAGCTACAAATATGGCCAATAACAGTGCACAGAGTTTCTGTGATCACAGTCTGCTTCTTTAACATTGGATTAAACAAGTTAGACATCTCATTAAGATGACTGACAAGTGCTGAAGCGAGAACTTGACCCGCTGAGTGGGAACAGGACTATCAAAACAATTTACTGCACTGAGCATATTTTAGTTTTGAATATAGTTTGAGTAGTCTGTAAAGACACCTAACTCATCTGTACTTGATAAGACTCACTACAAATTATATTATTCAACTGTGACCTTGAGTTTCTTACATTTGGATTTAGGTTTTTAGTCCTTCAGCTGAAAACTAGGCTTACATTCCATGAGTAACATCTCCTGATTTACAGCAGCATGTACTGATCCAACATGTCTCTTATGCCCTGTTATAGCAAATGATACCTACTGTAATACCACATTATTTTTATGTGATCAACTCAAAAAGATCCACGCTATTGTTTCTGATCTGTACTAAACATATTTGTGAGTTGGCTTGCTATCGTTTGTGTTGGTACTCATTTATTATTTTCTAAATGTTTGCTGCTGCCATTTTGTCCTAATAAATTAAGTAAAAATGTAAGCCACATTCATTTTATAGTTCATAGTCTCTGAGTTAAGTTAGCTCAGTTATGTTTATATGATTTTTTTCATTTTTTACACATCCCAATAAGTAAGAGAGATGAGAAAATGAATGCATTTTGACTAAATTAAAATTAACTAATTTGTCACAAGCACTATCCATGGTGCTGATCATACCAAGGACTTTTGCTAAAAACATGAGACTAAATTACAGCATATTTGTGTGATTATATGTTTCATCTTTTTGTGTGTGTGTGTATGTCTCATTTGGGATTTGTAGGCTTTTTAATCTTAAAGTGTAAATCCAACTTCTGTGAACAGCTGAAAGGGCTAGAAAATATGTTCTATATTTGTATGTGAAGTTTAAGAGAAAATGACAAAGCTACAAGGGAGAAACTACATGATGCGTCAGCTGTCCCAGGAGGACGGATATTAACCTAACATACTGGGCTTTGTTTTGACCACGGCTATACATGAACAGACAGCCCTTAGTGTTCACAAACGGATCCAGCAACTGTGTCCTGAATCACCTCTGACTGAAAAATGACAGCAGAGAGTTTCCTGCTGCTTCACTCACTCCTCACAAACCACTCACCCACACAAATCGCACACAAAATCACAAAGGAATGAGTTGACAAGTGCAGTTAACATCACCTTGCTTTCAGCAACAGCTGTGTCCCGCTTCACCTCTGCAGCCTGAGAGACACTCTGAGTGACAAATGACAGCAAAGGTCTAATGCCTCTTCACACTTGTGTTTGTCTGCTTGCTCCACCACTGTCAACACACTCTCTCTTGTCATAAAAAATAAAATAAATCTAAAATGTTAGGTCAATGGGGAGAGTATGGAAGTAATCCTGCAAGGCTCAGTGGTTAGTTGAGGGCTTTCCACACTCACTTGTATAAATAATTTAATAACTTTGCAATGACTTTCAAGATTTTTGGAGGAAATATTCAAGCACTTAAAAGTTGTGCTGAGTTTGTCATAAGGCCACATGTTTTTTTTTAATTAAATATAGAAATTGTATTTGTATTGTAATTTAAAAGTATTTTTAAAACTGCTACAATTTCCATCACATATATACTGTATATTTAATATGTCAATGCATCTTTGGAAAATGTATCACTGACTTAAGATTACCTTTAATTTGTATTTAATTCAGATGCCTAAAACATATTTATCTAACCTCAATGCTAATTGTTTTACTCACTGAGAAAAGATTATTGCCTATGTTGTTGATTTATTCTTTGCAGAGGAGAGGAGGAGAGAAAGAGTTTGGATGTCCTCTGTGTATTTCTCCTGTAAGTGAATGTAAGAGTGACATGACCAGTCTCAGGAAATAGTGACAGGTTTTCTGTCAGTATCTCACTGCCTGCTCACTTCAGTGCTTCCTCTTCAGCCTGAAAAACATGTTCTAAGACACAATCGGAAACAGGTTGAGACACTGATGTCAGAAGGAGAAACTGTTTATGTCTGCTGGATACAACACCTTCAATACTTAGAGAGAGTAAAAAGTAGTTTCTGGTATTAGTTGTCAGTGATGAATAGGGTACCAACTTCTAATGTTTGAAACCGATTTAGCTGTGGATAATTAAGAGCTAAAACTAAACCTCTACAATGTGAAAATGGCTGAGGTAAAGAGCAGAGAAAAAGTTTTAAAGAAGAGACAATCATATAGTGAACGATACGATAACATTCTATTTATACTTTAATTTATATTATCAATAATTAAGCACTTCTCAAATGGAGAAGTGTATTGACTACTGACTGACAGTGTCAGTGATATATGCCATTATTGCAGCAGTACAGTTTTGTTACCGGGTGCTGTGATTTTTGACAGTTTTTGTCAGTTTTATTTTGATAGCAGATACTTATGAGGAGGTGTGGCAGCTTGATAGGTAAATTTTTTTTTCATCAAGTCTAGGAGAAAACAACAACCGAAGAAGTGGCAGAAGCACGTATAGTTGGAATCCACAGCAATACTTTAACAGTTTCAAGGGTATAAATTATGAAAGCAACATACAAATCAAACTGCTGTTCAACCCACGCATTCATGTTCTGTATTAGCTAAACAGTCTGAACGGGGACAATTTAAATGGTGTCAAGTTAGAGTGCTAATATTGACTTGCTGATATTCAGAACGGCTGCAGTCATTTATTTGCCTTTCTAACACAAGGATCACATTTAACCCATAATGCATCCGTGTTGCTTCAAATTGCCTGCAATGTGCTACACAAGGATTCTGCAGTACATTTTTATTAATAATTGACTAACATGAAACATTTTCATAGTATTACAATCTCAAATCTGAATTAAGTCCCACAACAATGTCACTTTTCAAATTACAAAGTAAAATTGTGTTTTCAATGCAGTGATGAACTCATCGAGTGGAGAGTTATGTATTCACCACAAAAGTGATCCAGAGCCGACACCCAGACGTCTCGGCCTTTTAACAATTTCAGGAACCTAAATTACTAGTTACAGGTTTCTGGCACTGCTTACAAATAACCTTTATGTGATACATGAAACATTTTCAAACTGAGCTGAGAGAGCAAGGGTCTTTTGGTCTTTCGTTCTCTCTATATCTATTTTTCTCCTCTTTTTTTTAAACCGAACACTAGATACTTAACTCCTCTTAGTCTTAGTCAAGAGTGCAATCTTCAATGATAGGGCCAGGCAGGGGCGAAGTCTACTCCTGAAGCTGTTGCCGTGACCTCAATCCCTCTCTACAATTACCTGTGGAGACTAATAATATTTTCAGCAGAGTTTACCCGAGAGTAGATGCCTTAGGGCCACAGAACTGTAGGGAATGCTAGTCAAAATCCCAAAATGAACAACATGACCACAGACCAGTGTGGTTCAAGCACATCAAATTATATTTTATGGTCTGTCTGCAGCTGAGTAAAACCTCATGTAAAATTCTGACTGGTAGAGATAAGGCAAGTCACTACTACTACTATATCAAACATTTTTTCTTATGTACTCTAACTCTCCCTGTGTACTAAATAACAAAGCAAAGTACTTAACTAATTGCTCTTAAATCACAAGGATCGTTGCTGTATACCATCCCACTAGAGTCTGAACTGGGGCCAGCAAGTCTTGTTATCCGCTTTATCCCATCCCGTCATGTATGTAATTTCAACACCAACAACCCAGACTGGTAATACAGCACTCAGTCAAACTGAGTCTCAAAAAGTTACCTTGTTTCAATACATGACCCAAAACAAGGAAGAACATTACACTATGTCAGAGAATGTCTAATAAGGAGATAGGTTCCACTCTCGGTATACTTCCGGCTTCTGAACTGTTGCAGTTCCACTCTGGCTCCATATGAGGGCGCTCACAGGATGAGTGCAGAATGAATGGCGGTCTATGGAGCTATACCCCTCAAAATCCACTTTTCTCAGGATATAATTTTTTGTCTAGTTATTTGAATGTTGCATTTGAAAGGGGATGCAAAGAAATTACACATTGCTGGGTGTAACATTTTTTAGAGTCAGTAATTTGCTTTAAAAAGTCTTTTAAAATGTCAATGACGTCATACACATCGTACGGCCAGAGATACTGCTTTACGGCAAGCCTTGAGTCTTTGTGTGCTTCCGCTCTCTGCACTTCCTTTTCTCTCAAGGCATCGACAACACAGACATAACGATAGGCAGATAAAAGTGCCAGCAACCCCAAAAAAAGTTGCTGTGTTAAAAAAAAGAACTTGGGCGAAAAAATCTGCCTTAACATTCTGGTCCCGCTTCGGATGCCACGATGCTATCAAGCAGGATCTCTGGTCGTAATCAGTCCTTCACTGACCAATCAGCGTTCATTAGCAGAATGCTAGCGTGTTATGGGCAACAACAACTCATCCTGTAAGAAATCGAAAGGACATAAGTACTCGTTCATTCAACTTTCGACCTATAACCCATGTTGAACTTGCAAAAACTACAATCAAATCTGAGATTTCACAATGAAAATCAGGTGAAAGAGACAAATTTAGCCGTCTAGCTCCATCTGCTCCCATTCATTCTGCACTCATGGGCAATCGCCCCCAGTGGAACTGTGGTGGAACTGCAACCAAAATTCGGTACAATGGGACTTAATAGAGAGTGGCCAGGCTCTCCGTAGACGGGCTCTG